CCCCACCCACCCACCCACCCACCCACCCACCCACATTAGATGGGTGCGGATTCCATCCATCTGCACACACACACACACACCATCACCACCATCACCATCACCATCACCACCACTTGAAACATCTGGGGCAGGTAGCGGTGATGTCCCGGTTGGCGCCGCCGCGGTGCCGAACACCTCCTTGCCAATTGCGGAGACGGTGCTGCTGGAGGTGGGGTCAGGGACATGGAGGGGGAGGGGGAGGGGGGCCGCGTGTGTGTATATGTATGTATGTTGGTGTTGATGTATGTGTGTATGTATGTAGGTATGTTGGGACAAAGGAAACAGGGCGGGGTCCAGGCACGTGCAAATTGCACGGTGCAATCACATACATACATACGCACATATAATCATACACGTTCGCATGTACACATACACACGCATACTCACATACTCACAATCGTTCCCCGTCCACACTCACCCGCATGGTAGGTCGGCGGCATGAAGTGCGGGGGTTGCTCCGCTGCTGTCAAGCGCATGCTGATGACCCGGCCGGAGGTGGAGGGGGCGGCAGTGAACCTGCTCACGGAGACGGCGGCGGTGAAGGTCAGGTAGGTGGCTGGGTGTGTGGGGGGGGGTTAGGGGTGGCGGCTGGGGGGGGGAAGAGAAGAGGGACGGGGGGGGGGAAGAGAAGAAGGGGGGAGAGAAGAGGGAGGGGGGGAAAGAGAAGAGGGAGAGGGGGAAGAAAAGTGGGAGGGGGGAAAGGGGTTTGGGAAAATTGAATGTTGTCGAAATAAAACTCTGGAACCACTGTCGACGTCCGTATCGGTTAACCTGGGGAGGGGAGGGGAGGGTGTGCTTGCGCCGCGATGAGGGAAATGGCGACGGTAGTTCCTAAGCGAATTGTGTATGTGTGTGTCTCTGTGTGTGTCTCTGTGTCCTCCGACCTCTGTGCCACCAGATTTGTAAACCTTTGCTTTGTGTGCATGCACTGTATGTATGTATGTACGTATGTATGTGCGTTGTGTTCGGCGTGCTGCCATACCATGTTGCCGTACGCAATACACGAATTACCGTACAGAACCACATGTTATGCCGTACACTGTGCGATTCTCCCCTTGTTGTTCTCCCTACAGGGGTTCTGCTGCGGAGCTGGGTCCCTCCCTGGCGTCCTTTATAACGGCGCGGGGCTTCCCCTCGCGGCTTCGGAGCGGCGCCGGTGACGACGGAGAGGGAGAGGATGGGAACCCCTTGAGCGCCGCCGCCACTGACGAAGCGGATCGGAAGCGACAGGTACAGCTTTTACGACTCTGTACGGCGATGTACGACATGTACGATCTCATTAGTCTAACGGCGGCGGGCGCGCAGGGGCGCCTAACGGGTGTTTATTGTGGTGGGTGGGGTGGGGGGGCTCTTAACCCGCTTCCGCCTACCCAATCCAAAACCCACCTGACTGCGACCGCGCCCCTCTGCTCCCGAAGTCCCCCCGCACCTCACAACTCCCGGGGGGGGTGGGGTGGGGGGGGTTGGGACAAAAGGGTACCTTCTTGTTTCCCGCCCCCAGATACCCCCCTAACATACGGGGGCTGGTTTCTTATCCCCTTTCCCCCCCCTTAGCTATCCGCCCCCCCTTCTCTCTCCCTCTCCCTCTCTCTCTCTCTCTCTCTCTCCGCAGCGACAGTCGACTCATGGCTCCCTCGCATCTTCATGCACTTCCCCTCCCCTTCCCCACCACCCCCCTTTCCCTCCGTCGGAGCGCAACCCCCCCCCCACCATCACCACCACCTCTCCTCCACTCAACTCCATTCCTGCACCACCCTTACCGCCCCCCCCCCCAACGCAAGAGAGGGGATTTCCTACTCAGCAGTTCCTGGGTGCTTTGAATGTCGGCGGTCCCTCCAGTCAACTCTTCCACCTTTTGCATATAATCCGACCACCCACCCACCCACCCACGCACCCCCCCCACCCCCCACCCACCCCCTCCCTCTATATCCAGGCCGAGGCCCGGCGCAGTCTGATGGATCTGGGTATCGCCTGGCTGCTGGTGGGCGCGTGTTGCGCGCATCATGCAGGCCACCTGCTGCATGCACTGGGCTACCATGAGGTGGCGCATGCCCCCCTGCTGGCGGCACTGGCCGACCCGCGGGTCAGCGGGGCACTGGGGGCCTTTGCGCTGCTGGGTCCTGGAAGGAGGTGGGTGGCGTAGTTGGGGAGGTCGGGGTGGGAGGCTAGGGTGTGCAGGGTTGTGGTAAGCGAGTTTCGGGCTGGAAGAGGAGGGTACATCGCGGCTATCCAGTACCGTCCTGTCCACTTCCTTCGAACACTAAAAAACCTCCAAAGGCTCTAGACGATTTCCAACCCCCCATTTTACCCCCTCTCCCCCCTCCCCCCTCTTTCACACAGACTTCTCATTAGCGGCTTCCGGGCCTTATGGTCCGGTAACCCCAATATGGAGAGCCTGGTGGCGGTGGGCTCCACCGCCTCCTTCGCGGTGGGGCTGGCGGCCGCAGCGGGGAGCATGTTGAGGCATGTGGTCACCCCGGCAGTGGCAGGGGCAGGTGGAGTAGGAGTAGGAGGAGTAGGGGGAGCTGCGGCTGCCGCTTCTCCTGCGCTGTTGGCTCTGAGTCAGGGTGTGGGGGCCCTGGATGCGTCCTTCCTGGAGGAGCCGGTGATGCTGTTGGCGTTCGTGTTGCTGGGGAGGGCGCTGGAGGCCCGGGCGAAGGTGAGGGTGGGGGAAGGGGGGAGGGGTGGGGCTCCGTTACCTGTCTGTGTCTGTATTTGGCTGGGCCGCCGGCCGCCCTTTAGAATACCGCGCAGTGTGCGTTTCCGTACATACATACATACATACATACATACATACATACATACATACATACATACATACATACATACATACATACATGGACTCGCTCTAGCGGGACCTGAGTGCCCTTCGCGGTGTATTCAATGCAGCGCCACCCCCGGATGGGGGGGCTGCGGAGTGGCTGCGTAGAGTGTTGGCAGTCTGAGTCGGGGTCGGGAGCACACAAGACTAACCGACTTGTGCTGTGTGCTCCCGACCCTTGCGCTGTGTTTCGGCTTCGGCCCCCGGCTCTCGCGGCCCACAGTGTAATCTAAGTCATACATGCATACACACATACACACATACATACATACATACATACATACATACATACATACATACATACATACACTCCTTGCCGATGCAATGTGTTTTTTCCCGCACCGTGAGGGCCGTGAGTTTTCCGTAAACGTAGACGTCCCGTACAGGGACACGCTCCTAGGGTTCGTTGCTGTACATAAAGACACCGTCCTCGCCAATTCCTGCCCGTGGCTCAGATAAACAAGAAGAATATAAAACAAACACGCTGTGTCTCTCCCCACCCCCGGGGAAATGTCCCCCCTCTCCACCCGCCCACACGACACGCAGGTCCAAGCCGCGGCCGACCTGCGCTCCCTAGCTCGCCTCATACCCGCCACTGCCCGGCTAGTGCTGGATCCAGGTGCCGTACCAACAGGGGGTACGGCAGGTGGCGGTACGGCAGTGGAGTACGTGGAGGTTCCCACCCGGAATATCAGGGCGGGGGATATACTGCGGGTTTTGCCAGGTACGTACGTATGTATGTATGTTAAGTCTATATACGTACATCACATCAACCTCTAAACAGGTACACTCACAAACCGCCTCACAAGTTGTCGTACCCCAAGCAAAAATACTAACTCAACACAAGAGACATGGCAATTCTAATTCCTCCCCATGGGCATACAGCACAGGAACCTCCTATTCCACAACCCTACCCCTCCTCCCCTACCCCTCCTCCCCTACCCCTCCTCCCCTACCCCCCGCCACGACAATGCAGGTGAGAAGGTTCCGGTGGACGGTGTGGTGCTGGAGGGGGAGTGCTGCTGCGACGAGTCGCTGCTCACAGGGGAGTCAGCGCTGGTCAACAAAGGACCGGGAAACAGGCTGGTGGGCGGTACGGTGGCGTACGAAGGTGCCGTACGGATGCGGGCTACGGCAACGGGGGCAAAATCCACCCTGGCAGGTGTGTGTGTGAGCTCTCGGGGGGGGAGAGAAGGGGGGAAGGGGTCGTGGTGCTGGTACCCGGGCTGGTTTAGAAGCGGTAATGTGTTTTGGGTATGTATGTATGTTGTTACAGGGTGGTTAACTTCGCCAGCGGCCCCCTTTCCCGAGGCAGTCCCTGCTCTCCCCTGCTAGAGGGGCACCCTAATCCATTCACCCCATCCGATTTCAGAATGTATTCGTTGGGTTCAGCAACTCACCACCAGCATCCAACCAAATCTAGTGGTATGTAATGTATGTATGTATCAGTTATGTATAATGTATGGGGAAGCCGAGCCGCAGGTTGCTGTGTGGGTATGCATGATGAGGAGGGGGGGGAAGGGGGCGGGGTTAGGGGGGG